ATTGGTATGAACTCAAGATCGAAGTGTTCTTGTCCGGAGTTAATTCAAGATGTAGAACAGAAAGTTCGAGAAATTCAGCATAACCTCAAAGTGGCCTCTGATCGACAAAAGTCCTATTCTGATCTTAAAAGAAAGGAGATTGAATTTGAAGTTGGGATAAAGTGTTTTTAAAGGTATCTCCATGGAAGAATGTGTTGAGGTTCGGTCGGAAAGGAAAGTTAAGTCCCCGGTTTATTGGACCATATGAATTGTAAAAAGAGTGGGACCCATAGCATACCAATTGACTTTACCACCAGAAATGGAAAAGATTCACAATGTATTTCATGTCTCAATGCTTTGGAGATATCGATCGGATCCCTCCCATATCATAAACCCAGAAGAGATCGAGGTACAACTGGACTTGACTTATGAGGAGAACCGATTCAAATTTTAGCTCATGAGGTTAAGCAATTGAGGAACAAGACTATTCTATTGGTTAAAGTTTTATGGAAGAATCACAAAGTAAAGGAAGCAACATGGGAGCGTGAGAGGATATGAGGAATCAGTATCCCCATCTCTTTTCTTATTGAAAATTCGAGGACGAATTTTCTTAAGGGAGGGAGATTTGTAACATCCTCCATGCCGGGTTAGTGATCAATTTGTAAAGTTTCAGCATTTGGTGATTTAAGTAGAATGATGGAAGAGTTCAATGACTTATTTGAGTTATTTTGTGTAGGATTAATTATAAAGAAGGAAGATTAGAAGGACAAAATGGTCGTTTTATAACAATATAATTTTGGGGTTAGTATTATATTAAGCATGTGGAAGAGTAGGAAATTAAAACAAGCTTCCAGAGTCATCTTCTTTTTTTCTTCTTCATACGTGAGACCCAAGCTAAGGTAAGATTTTCTTGTTAGTGAATTTCTTGATGAATTTATGGTTGATTCATGACCATTAGGCAATAGTTAAGCTTAAAGGAAGTTTAAATTGTTTTTAAAACCTCAAGAGGAGAAGTATATGAAGAATTAAAGAAAGGAAGTAGAAAAGTGAATCTTAGATTAGAGTTCATAATAAGAATTGGAAGTGAGATTTGACTTGTCATCAAGTTAATTAAGGGATATGAAGTGTTAGAATTAGAATTAGAACACCTTGAAAATTTAGTGTGATTCTTGAATGCCATGTAAATGATGGAATTTTGGTTTAAAGAAGTGATTATGGAATAGAAATGATTTAAATATGTATATGGAAGTTAGGAATATTAAAAAAAGTGAAATATGAAGGTTTAAGCTGAAATGAAGTGATTTTCGAGCTCAAAATAGGATTTCTGGGCTAGGGAATCGATACCAATTCAAGGGGAATCAATACCCCCTCAAACGAATATGAATTTCCAGAACGCTAGAGGGGAATCGATACCCCCAGGGGAACCGATTCCCCCATAATAAAAAAAAAGAGAAAAGAAAAAGAGACTAAACTATCAATTTCTTAAATTAGTAGGCTATTAGAGGTTAATTTCAAGACTTAGGCATCTGATAATCATCTTGAAAATTTTGCTTATGTAGATATTGAGCCTAATCGAGTTCCGGAACCATCGACAAGTAGGATCATCGAGGGAAAAACAAAGAAATCTAGGTGAGTGCATATGCATAACATGAATATGTATTTATTCAGTTCTAGACTTGTGATAAGTCTAGATTCAATATTTTGATACTGATCGTAGTTCATATGATGATATATGACATGAATCCATACCATATGCATTATGGGACATGAATATGAAAGAAAAGTTATATGAGTTATATGATAAAGGTATGGAAATAATATGTCTACGTGATATGAATTAGATAAATTGTGAAAGCCCATGTTATGTAAATGAGAACTATAAGTATAGTTGGCATGCCAAGGGTAGAGGTCTATGTGGTCCTTCGGGACATATATGTATTCTTTGGAACATGTGTGAAGTCTGGTGAGACCATACTTGAACCTTGGCATATGTATGATTCTTAAGGAATGATATGTGGTCCTTCGGGACATATATGTATTCTTTGGAACATGTGTGAGGTCTGTGAGACACATACTTGATCCTTGGTATATGTATATGATTCTTAAATGTTATGTGGTCCTTCGAGACATATATGTATTCTTTGGAACATGTGTGAAGTCTGGTGAGACATATACTTGATCCTTGGCATATGTATATGATTCTTAAGGAATGATATGTGGTCCTTATGGACATTATTATATGGCACTACGGTGCAATTCTACGCGACACTCCGGTTCAATTTTACGTGGCACTTAGGTGCAATTATATGAGCTGTGGTGACAGCATAGTGCACAACCTCACAATACTCACATACCTTAGGTTCTCCAAATGGTACCATGGGCTAATGAACTTACTAAGGTGAATTATGAATGTGAATTTGATAAGTATATGTGTAAGAAACATGGTTTTTGTTATTGCATTGTTTACATACATCTTATTACTGTAACCCCTCTTATTTTGGCAATTACTTATATTTATTGATATTATTATTATTATATTATTTCCTCACTAAGTCGATGACTTAGCGTGTGAGTGTTTCACACGTAGGATCCGATAAGTAGACGATCGAGGTTAAGCAGTTGGACAACATTACTCCTGTAACTATCAGATCAGAAGCAACTTAATCAGTAGGTCATTTTGTTATGAAAATGGATGTTGGCATGTAATTAAAGAGTTAAGTTGTGTATGCTCTGAATATTTGGTAAACTTATATTACCATATGTATATTATTATATTTTTCGTAATATAGTTTCAAGTATTTTATTATATATTTTTCGTTGTAAATGAGTTGTGTTTTAAAAGTCAATGTGTAATGAGTTGTGTTCTGACTCGTATCTGGGTTGGGATACTGGTTCATTCTGATATTCAAGGTAATATTGAGTCAGGATCATCATTACCTTATAACATGGAGGATTTTTGTATGGAAGAAGCTGCAGGTGAATCTTCGAGTGTGGTTGTATCTACTGAAGCAACTGTTGAACCTAGTTTCGAAGATGATCATGAAGAAGAAGTTGTGGAAGTGCCTTCTAACCTAGCTGCACCTAACAATATTGTTGGTCAAACTAGTGTCAATACAGAAGCCTCTCCTGTTGTTGATGTGCCACGTATGAATAGCCACCCTATGCTCACAAGAGGCAAGTGTGGTATTTTTAAGCCTAAAGCTTACTCAAATCACTTTGATGAAGATGTTCCCTCAACTGTTAATGAAGCATTACAGTCTCCAAAGTGGGCTGCTGCAGTCCAGGAAGAGTTTGATGCTCTTAAGAGAAATGGAACTTGGACACTTGTTAAGCTTTCTCCACGATGTGTTGTAGTAGGTTGTAAGTTTCTATTTAAAGTGAAACGTAATCCAGATGGCTCAGTTCACAGATACAAGGCATGACTGGTTGCAAAAGGATTCTCTCAAGTGCCTGGGCAAGACTATCTTGACACATTCAGTCCTGTTGTAAAATTTACAACTCTTAATGTTATCTTGTTTATTACAGTGGCCAATAACTTGAATTGAGGCATGTTGATATCAACAATGCCTTTCTTAATGGAGACTTGAAAGAAGCGATGTTTATGAAACAACCACCAGGATTCAAGGAGACAACAACTGATGGTATGCCTCTTGTATGTTAATTACAGAAAGCATTATATGGATTGAAGCAAGCTCCCCATAATTGGCATGCCAAATTAAAAAGATGTGTTGCTGCAAATTGGATTTCAAGTATCTCGAGCTGACACTTCATTATTTTTTACAAACACGGGTGTTGAACATGTTTATCTTATGGTTTATGTGCATGACATAGTCATTATAGGTTCATCAACTTCTGTGATTGCCAATATTGTATGCATGCTGCAATACACTTTCTCTCTTAAAGATTTGGGGTCCCTTAGCTATTTCTTGGGAATTGAAGTAAAACAGAGAAATGGCTCTTTGATGCTCAGTCAAAAGAAGTTTATCTTGGAGTTTTTAGAAAAGGTTGGCATGAGGAATGCTTCATCGTGTGCAACGTCTATGATTCTTGCACCTAAGTTATATGAGGATGATGAATTACTAGTTGATTATACTATGTATCGATCCATTGTTGGATCATTATTATATGTTTGTCATACCAGGCCTGAGCTTGCTTTCAGTGTCGGAAAGGTTGCTCAGTTTATGCACGCGCCTCGTGAAAGTCGTCTAGTAGTAGTGAAACGCATTTTGAGGTATCTTGCAGGAACTGTGGAGTATGGTTTGATGTTTCTGCCATCTAAGTCGAGATTTACAGTCTCAGCATTTGCTGATGCTGAGGGTGTAAATGTCACTGATCATCGATCAATCTCAGGATATGGAGTGTTTCTTGATAATCATTTGGTTGCATGGAGCTCAAAGAAACAAAAATCTATCTCACGTTCACGATGGAGGCTGAGTATAAAAGCCTAGCTGATGCTACTGCTGAAGTTACATGGGTAAGTACTCTGTTAGCTGAGCTCGGGTTGAAGCAGCATGGAAAATCAGTGATCTGGTGTGATAATGCAGGAGCGGTGCCAATCTGGTTTATCATGTTCAATCGAAACATGTTGACCTTGATGTGCATTTTATCTATGAGAAAGTGGCTGCTCAACAATTGTGTATGAACTATGTGCCTGCAGCTCATCAAGTGGCTGATAGTTTTACTAAACCATTGGCTAAATTAACATTTGAAGTTTTTCGAGAGAAGATTGGAGTACAAGCATGTTCAAGATCAGAAGAGCAGAATAAGAAGTAGAGGGAATGTTAGCATGATGAGTCATCAACATGCTGCTTACTGCCACGTGTGCATGGTGTTGTTAGTAAAATAGTTAGCAGCTTCTTGAAGTTGTTAGTGGTAGTTAAGGTTGTTAGCATCAGTTGTGAAATCTGTTAGGCTTGTATTTGTATTTGATATTAGAAGTTGTATATAAACAGCAGAAGTCTTGTATTTTATGTACAACTTAACAATCAATATGCAAGTATTATTCTTTCTTTGCTGCATTCTTAACACGCTTCATCGGAACCCTTCTCGGGATCATCCTCCTTTGCGGTAGAAGCTTCGGATTTAGCGTCATCCTTCATCTGCATTGACATGAAAGGGCGTTCCGAGGGCTTTGCCTGAGTCGCAAGCTTCAGGGCCTGCTTCTTCTTCACCTTCTTTGCCCAACCAAGAAGACTCGCTTGCACATGGTCATCAAATATTGCCTTGTTGAATGAACTTCCCATCTTCAATTCAGTAAAAAAAAAAAGGTAAACCGGAGTTCGGATTACGAAAACTCAAATAAACATATCAGATACTCGACTAACCTGTGCGACAATGGCATAAAGTGGCAGGGTACTGTAACTACAGACTACTTGAACGAACATCCTGTGGGAACCAACAGAAGATCAAAGGTTTGGAACAAATGCACAAATTAAAGGAAACTGTCACTGATTTTTACCCTATAGTAAGCTTTGGAAGGATATAATAAAGTTTATCAATTAGGCACGATTCGAACCCGAATTGAACCTACATATGATGAAGAAGATTTCGTTATGTTCATCCGGATTACTTACACTGCAGTTCATATTGCAGAATTGTGACCCAAAAATTTAAGCTTACCCAAATCCAGAAGAAAAACGCAATCTCGAAAGCATTTTGGAAGAGGATAAAATGGATCAACCTGAGAACCAGATGAGGATTGTCGAACCAAAAGAGCTCATCCGATGGTCTTACCACTAATTCCCCTTCAATGGCTACATGTTTCTCAGCAACATCATGAGCCAAACTGGTAATCACATGCTCGAGCTTGGTCCCCACAGTAAGTAGAAGCTAGCAAAACAAACATGTCGAGGAAAAAAAGGATCATATCCCGTATCCAGTTCCGAATACGTGCTAGATATAGGAAGATTTACAAGAACATGAATCGATCGTTTCGAGTGACTTTTAGTCTCTTCAATTTTACATTAAACATCCAGTCCTGCTTTTATGTAAATGGATGTATTTACTTCGGTGCATTTATGTTTAAGAAACTAATGAAACTACTCACAATGAAAGGAATGAAAGCTATCCAGAAATATGTATACAATCCTGCAGAAGAAAATGGAGAAAAAATCCATCATCATGGAGCTTTAATGCTTGGTAATCTCAACAAATAACATCTATTACATGCCAGTGAAGCGAAACATAATGATCCACGGCAATCGATATTCCATACCGTTAACATTCAGCAACAAAAAGATGATCACGAATGCCCAGAGATACCAACTGCAGAAAAGCAAAAGAAACTAAGCACAATTTGAAGTCAAAAAGAGGCCACGAGACATAAATCTTCAGAAATATACTCTCAAATACGACTTGCCTTATACCAACAACTTCCTTAAAATCATCTTCCAAAGCTCGAATCATATATTTATGAAAATTAAACTTAGGATTCCCTTTGCAATGGGTCTGCAAATATAAATGACAAGTATTGATGACTGACTACGTCAAGGAATGACAACATGATCGCAAGAAAGTTGTTCGAGAGAAACCAGTTTTCCACAGATAGCTTACCATGATGAAACCTAGCCTTAGTGCCTCGTAATCGGATTTGGTAACAGATGCATGAAATTGCTTGAAAAACGAATACTAGGAAGAAGATTAGAGTCATTGTTAGCGAAGCATACAAAACTCGTGAGACCAGATCAGAACTAGAAACTTCAAGACAAAAGCATCACTTCTTACTGTAATACAGTTTTCTTCTATGTTACTCAGGATTTGAGTGCCAGACACGAATATGTTCATATTTTCGGGCAGGGGTATTGAATATGGTCTTTCAAGGACCCTCCAAAGACGTGGAAAAACTTGGGAAAAATTGAACACACCCGAATCTAAGTAACATAGAAGGAATTTCAAGGTCTACCTCTTTCATACTAGATTCAGTCGTTATAGATGTTAATGGTAAAAATAATGTATCATAGATGAAATAGCAACTTACCAACCACCTGAGAGGAACTGAACGTTTACCGAAACCCTGGAAACGATGTTTGATAAAGTCATGCTGCTGGACATGAATGAATTTTTTCTCTAATTCTGCAATAACACAATGTATAAATCAGAAACACCAAAGTAAGAAAAAGTGAAGGAACCAGCAGACCACTTTAAAGCAGATATATATTGAATAGTCTATCATAAGCTATATTACTCAAGACACATGGATGTGAACATCGTACAGAAGCACGAGTCTTAACACAGTAGATCGATATCCATGTTCGAAAATATGTTGGAAATGGGTACTTCAAGAGAAGAATATTACAAGTTGGACCAACATAGATAAGTAGTGACCGGCATTCCTAATGTGCACCGAAAGCGACATCAATGGTACTTTATTCTAAAGAACATAAAACATATGGAAATGATAAGAGATTAAGAGTACATCAATCAAAGTGTGGCGTTGCAGTAATGTATTAAATAAGAAAGGCCGTACATGTGATCCTAAACCATAATAGTACTCTGTCTCACCATGAATTCCTATGTAACCGATGACAAAAGATTTGTTTTTCCTCATTTCAGCAAGTAAAGAGACAACCCTAGGCAAACTCAAACATGAAACAGTAAAAAGACATTTTATTTGGTCATGTTTATATATTAGAATTACCTGGGAACTGCAGTATCTGGCCGCATTCGACGAATCTGCGCTGAGTAGGCGTCGGGTGCCATCAGACACGGTGGAAGCAAAATAGATTCCCAGTTTCGAACCATTATGGCGGGCCTCACCATCATCATCGTGGTTAACTCTACAAGGAAGCATGTCTTTACGTAGATCCTTTGACATGCAAATTTTAGAAATTGCACTCTGAAATGCAGTCAACAACAGTGAGATAAACCCCAAGAGCATCAACTCTGCCAACAAAAACAAAAATACCCCAAAAATCCTACGTTTCAAGGTTACAATTCCGGAAACTACAAAAGAATTTACCAATGGAAACACATTTTTTTTCAAAAAAAAAAAGGTTACCTTCTTTGACTTTCAAAAGAGCCTCGTAGAGTGGTTTCTGTTGTTTCTCTTTCAAAGCATCCCCTAAATGATGAAGCAAACGTTCCATAGCAAAGGAAATGGCAATAATCACAAAACAAACTACTGCTATGACCCATGTTGGAGTGTACTCCAACGATCCCTCATCGTCTTCTCCTCCCATTATTTCTCTCTCCAAAAGCTTCTTCCTTTTATCACTATCCGATGGCTTTGGTTCTCAGGCAAACAATACCCAAAGGCCAAACCAATATTTTGCTTCACTTTCAATTATCTACCGCCCTTTTTAAACATGCATTACAATAAAAATATTGGTTTTCCTTTTTGTGTTGATTTGTTCGTTTCACAAAAACAAACAGTGGGAGATTTGTTCTATGGGATGCTTAATTATGTAACTATAATGTATGAACATGGGATGTGGTTATAAATTTGTATGAATGAGAATTAAAGTTTCTGCAGGAAGTTTGTTAGTCGTACTGAACTTGAAAGTAGGAAGGGGGCAAGAAAAGCTAAAAAAAGGTAATGCCTTCACTGAAACTATATTCTGTCAAAATTAGTTATGATTTAGTTAGTACTACGGATCGATTTACACCAATTTAATTAAATACATCTTATTGTAGAACAATAAATGATTAAAATAATCAAATTCTTCTATTAGTTCATGTACCATACAAAAGTTAGGATTTAGTCCTTGTGTTTTAGTTTGATCATTTTAGGTAATATGTTTCTCAAATGTTAAAATTTTGGTACGTATTGAAACAGTAGTCATAAAATATGTTAAGTCCAATTCTGTGGTTATAGATTTACTTCATGTTCTCCAGGTCCATTCATTTAGGCTAAGTTTTCAAATACAAAATCAACATTAGATTGTTTATTTCAACCACAATACAAAATTGAGAATTTATTAAGAAACCATGTTCTTAGTGCCTTTCACACGTTTTTTCGGGTAAAATATACGATTAGCCCTTGATTATAGGATATTTTTTATCGAGTCCTATGATTATGTAAAGTTACAAAATGATTATTCTTCTTTTTAAAAAAACTAATAAGTTGATTCTTTTCTGCTAAAAGTTTTATGATAAATAAGTAACAATTAATAAAATTATCATATTAACAAATTTAACTATTTTAATTTGATCATAATTTGAAAAAATTAATCTTCAATATTTTTAATTTTCTACCAATTTAATCCCTACTAACCAATTTTCATTCTCTTTTATCATCATCATCGCCACTTATCATTCACACCAAATAACAATAATTTTAAATAAATTAAATTAATTTAAAAATATCCAAAACTATGATTAAAAAAAAGGACAAAAAGTAAGTCATCCTATCATGGAAAAGTGGCTTCAAAAATGCCTTCCCACTAAAAGAGATGCAAATCTCACCCATTATCCAATTCTCTTATACATACATCAAAATTTTAGTTCAAATTTTCCTTTTCTCCTTCATGGATTTTGTTAAAACTAAAATAGAAAGAAAAGTCCCATACTTGGAATAAGAAAAGGCTTGACATTGAACACTGGAATAGTGCTTCACTATGTAACATTTGAGAATGGAGTGGAAAAATTAAATTAAAATATTAAAAGAAAAATCCTCCAAGGGAGCTTATTTATCATGTAATTTGTATTTCACCCTTTTCACTTTGGCCTTGTCATTTCCTTTTTTAATAGAAATTGATATATTTTTTTCCTTTGTAGCTCGGTTTTGTTCATTTCCAACTCATGTTAACACGAGTAGTACCAGTCAGATGACTAGCAGCGATCCTTTTTTTTATTATTATCAAAAACAAACTTTCGAAGCTATCCAGTCAAAAAAATAAAAATAAAAGGTAACTCTAAATCGTGGGAAATAAGTTCAGAAAGGGTAAACAACATTATTGGGGAATAAGATCTTGGATAAAATTTTGTATTAGTTTATATACTACGTGTAAGTTATAGATTTAGTCACATATTATACTACAAGGTAAGTGTAAGTTATAGATTTAGTCGCATATTATACTACAAGGTAAGCTACGTAAATTATCACATAACTAAGGGTTGGGTTACGAAATGACGGCCACTTTTAAATTTACGTTACTATGACCACTACTAAACTATTTAAATTGTCATACCGAGGGTTATTTTTTTTAAAGTTAAATATAGGGTTTAAAGTATCAATCTAATTATAATATTGGATTCACTGAAAATGTTAAGAAAATTGAGGGACTTTAAGTTTAAATTTACCTATCTTTGAGTTTTAGAATTCGCGTGAAAAATTCATCTTGGAATGATAACATTATTTTATTCAAAATATTTGGAAACCACAAGTGAATAAGATATTTTGGTGCAAATTTCAACAACAACAATAACAACAAAACCCAATTCCCATATGTATGGGGTAAGGGGGAGGTAGGGTAGTAGGCTACCCCCAACGCCAGGTTGAGAGTAGCTTCCGTGGAAGACCTCCGCAGTCAGAAAATTAAAATTTAGATAAAATGCAATGCATGTATAATAAAACATAAATACATAGCTAAACAGTATTCATATGCAGTCATTAAAATCATATGTGCGTCTGTAACGGGAATTAATCTCTGCATAATAATCCCTGCGAAAGAATCTCTACATATAGACAGAAACATAAGATCCGACTAAATTTAAAAGAGGAAACATGAAGAGAATGATACACAGAAGTCAACGTTAGCAAGCCCAGTTCTAATCCTTCATAAATACCAATAACAGAAATGTATAAAAAGTATAAGTCATGGAAAATACTACAAAGACATTAAAAGAAGACAGAGATGATACACCCTATAGATGTGACCCACACTACTCGACTACCCTAGTCTTTAGCCTCCATATTTTCCTATCAGAGGTCATGTCTTCGGTAAGGGCTAAATCCCTCAAATCAGATCTTAAGCAGTCTTCCCACTTTCGCCTTGGTCGTCCTTTCCTTCTGGCACCGTCGACTGTAATCGACTCTACCCTCCTTACCGCATCCGACGGTAGTCGCCTAAGGACATGCCCAAACCACCGTAGTCTTCCCTCCCTCAATTTTTCGGAAACAGACACCACCCCCAAGGGCATCCTAATAGCAGAGTTTGTCGTCATATCCCTCAGAGTCCTACCACATGTCCATCGAAGCATTCTCATTTCTGCGGCCTCAATCCTCCTTACGTGATCCTTCTTGGTTGCCCAACATTCTGATCCATACAACAGCGCTGGTCTTATTGCCATTCTATAAAATTTTCCCTTAAGTTTTAGAGGGATCTTCTTGTCACACAGAACTCCAGTAGCGGCCCTCCACTTTAGCCATCCCGCCTTTATACGGTGTGTAACGTCATCATCTACACCCCCATCTTTATGTATCATAGACCCTAGGTACTTGAAACAATCCTTTGAGGGGAGAACGTGTCCTTCTATGCATACTTCTACATCTTCATCGTTTTGGTTCCCATTGAAGTTTGAACATAAATACTCTGTCTTTTCAATATTGATCCTTAAACCTTTTTCTTCCAAAGCAATCTTCCAGGTAGCCAGTCTACTATTCAACTCAGATTTTGTTTCAGCAACTAAGACAATGTCGTCAGCGAAAATCATACACCATGGTACACCGTCTGGTGTCGCACAATAGATGTCGTCCATAATCAAGGCGAAGATGTAAGGGCTAAGAGCCGACCCCTGGTGGAGTCCGATTTCCACCGGGAATGCCTCGGTGTCGCCAACTGTAGTCCTGAAGTAAGTAGTAAATCTACAGTACATATCACGAATCGCCCGGATATAAGCAGTTGGGATCCGTCTCGTTTCCAAAGTCTTCCAGATCGTATCGCGGGGAACACTATCATAAGCCTTCTCAAGGTCAATGAACGCCATGTGAAGATCTCTAGACTTTTCCCTATATTTCTCCATAAGCCGTCGAAGTAGATGAATCGCCTCCGTGGTAGACCTGCCTGGCATAAAGCCAAATTGGTTTTCCGAAACCCTAGTAACTTGTCTCAACCTAGCCTCTATCACCCTTTCCCATAGCTTCATGGTATGGCTGATGAGTTTAATACCTCTGTAGTTACCACAACGTTGGGGATCTCCTTTATTTTTATAGATTGGTATCACCGTAGACTCTCTCCACTCCTCTGGAATCTTGGCAGTCTCTAAAATAATATTAAAGATGTTGGTCAACCACTTAACTCCCTCTTCTCCTAGGGCCAACCACACAGTGATAGGGATTTGATCAGGACCGACAGCTTTGTCCCTTCCCATCTTTCTAAGAGCCATTTTGACTTCCTCAAACCCAATCCTACTTGTAGGGCAGTCATTAGCCGTAGTATGATAGTCGGCTAACCCATCAACGATACTATCTCTACATGGAGAGGCACCGTCATTAAATAAGCTAAAGAAGTAACTACCCCAAACCCTCTTAATATCGTGATCTTTCGCTAAAAGAACACCATTGTTGTCTTTAATAAACCTAATGTTACCTAGATCCTTTTTCCTAATCTCCCTAGATTTTGCAAGTCTGAAGATGTCATTTTGTCCTTCCTTGGTGTCTAATCTCTTGTACATTTCCTCGTATGCCTTATCCTTTGCTTTAGCTACCGTTTTCTTGGCTTCCCGCTTTGCCTCCTGGTATCTTTGTTTAGCTCTCGACCTTTCTTCGTCGTCATTGCATTGTAGAAACTCCTTGAAGCAAGTTTGTTTTGTCTTCACCTTAGTTTGGACTTCGTCGTTCCACCACCACGATTCTTTATGTTCCTTGGCCTTCCCCCGTCGACAACCCAAGGGTATTTTTGCCAACATCTCTGATGGAATTTGCCATATTTTTCCATAACATATCTGCATTTTTTGAGTTTGTAGTTTCAAAACTTGTATTAGACAAAACCTTACTCCTAAAGTCATCAGTTGTCGCTCCATGTAAGTTCTTCCAGAGGATCCTAGGTTTACCAAGTTTAGCCCTCCTATGAGTGCTCTGCCCGTGGGGTACGCGGTACACCAAAACCAACAATTTGTGTTGTGATGCACATGCCTCTTCAAGGAACACCTTACAGTCAATGCAAGCCCATCGTTCCTGATTTCTAATCAAGATGTAGTCGATTTGGGTACAATGTCCCCCGCTATGAAACGTAATCAAGTTCGCATAATAATGGAATCAGAGAAACAATTTGGTTACCCTATGACTTGCCTATTTGACCCGTTACAAGCTTTAACCGGACC